CATGATAGTTGATACAACAGTACCCTAATTCAAATTTAGTTAAAAATTAACTTAGAAAAAGTTCAATTAATTTAACTAAGTCACTAATTAGTTTTGAATATTTCAGTACTCATCATGAAATCATTTGATTAACATTAAATAATAAAGGATATWAATAATATATGAATTAATTAGATAATAAACTTAATATTTAAGGGGGCTTTTTTTTTAAACAACACATCATGGCTTTAAAAAAGCTTTAGTCTATTTTAATATCCACCAGAAATATAATTTTAATCTTTAGAACTTTCATATGACGTCAGGGTCTTTCATAAAAAATGTACACTATGGCCACCCTCATAATATACAAAAACTAACTTAATTAATTTGTATGATTTTTCCAGACAATTTATCTTCTAATTATATTAGACAACTGATTTGCAATAATGTCTATTAATAATAAAAAAAATTTATTTTTCGTAACATTTCAATACATGAGTTTCTTAATCTTTATTTCATTAAAACAACTGGTTATAGATGACAGAAATTAATATTATTAATTGATATTTATTGAAATTAGACTTTCTAAATTATGTTATGAATGATAAAATAACTATTAAGTCTACACTGTCTATTTATTGATGCTATTAAGAAATCCTCTTCCCTTGAATAGTTGATTTGAGCTTTTGTTTAATTGGTTTTGGTTATTACTTTTATCTTGACATATAACACCTCTTCCACGACCAATAGTCTTACTCAAGCTATTCATTTCAGTTACAGGAGCATTTTTTGAATCACCAAGTGTAAGTAAGTCGTCTTTTTTAATTGTTACAGCTTTGTTGTATGTATTTGGCTTATTCCATATTGGTTTTTGAATAGGAGTTGGTGATTGACCTTCAATTGCTGGAAAATCGCTGTCGGACACAAGAGTTTTTGGTTTATTTATTTTTCTTTTATCAGAAATATCTAAAGGCAATTTAGAAATATTGATTTTATCAATATGTTCTTCAACTGGACTGATGATTTTAGATAAATCAAAATCATAATGATAACCAGGTACAAGTTTTATGTCAAAATAGCGACAACAATGAGCTGATATAATGTTAATCCACTTGCATACAAAATAGTTACTACAAATTTGAATCGTATCCAGGTTTTCATGAAAATTGCAACCAATTGTTTTAACTGTAGTTATCATATCTTTTGATAAACTCTCGGTAGCCATACCAACAGAAGGCAACGCCAAATCAACTGTATTTGGATGTTTAACTTTGAAACATGCATTTTTCAGATTCATAAATAGTTTATCCAAATGGTAAACCCTAATCATATTATTAAAATCATCTCTTTCAGCATCTCTTACTGCACTTTCAAATAACTTAAATAAACTCGCACTAGTGGTCATCAGTTCATTTTCAATAAATGTATGTGCAGTATAGATTGGTGGCATGTCCAATGCTAAATCATTTAGAACAGCTTCATCAACATCTTTGTTCATGATAAAACCTAAAAACAATTCAACATTAGTTTGAAAAAAATATATTAATTTAATGATTTTGTTATACACTTTTTATATACTTACCAATCACTTTTAATAATACTTCTGAATAATTTTTGGGAAACTTTGAGAATACATTAATTTTATGGTAGTTATCAGCATGATTGTTGATATCTGCCATAGGAGCTATCGGAGCATTTGTTCTGACTCGATCAAATCCAAGTAACTGATGAAACATGCGTTCCAAGCCTTTTTCTAAAGAAAACTCAGCCATTGATATTTCAGCAGGAAAATAAAATCCTTCTTTCTGGCATGTATAAGAGTTTATATGAATCAAAATGAATTTTTGCTTGGGAAGATAATAACTAGCTGGTTGCATGTCAAGCAAAAYATCTATATATGAGTACATAGCATTTGTTTGTAATTTATTACCATCCGATTGTTTATGAACATCTTTTACTTTTTCACCAATCGAAGTATATTTGCCTACTTTTGTATCATTTTTCATTTGCTTAGCTTTTTTTCTATACTCTTCTTTCATCTCATCAGACATAACTTCCCAATCTTTTTTGCAATACTCTGACATATCAGCCAAGGTTACTTTAGCTCCCTGCTTTGTTAAATTCTGCTGAGTCTCCATCATAAATACTGAATACCCATTGAGAGATTTCTTCTTAGGAGCCATTTCTAAGACAAATATATACAAATATATACAAATATTAGTAAATAATCAATGAAATGGCATCTTAAGAATTGTATCTAATTAAAAATGTATTGTAAACTATATTATTAGTAATGCAAAATTAGGTATAAATTAATCATAATGAATATTAGTTATATTAATTTTCATATTTTATTAGTATAAAAACTTATTCTTAATTAATTTTTAATTTAAATATAAAAAAATCTAAAACAATTATTATAAAAAGTAGATAAGTGTATGTGGCTTTGCTGTACATTAAGTTTCAAGATGGTATTAAATTTGAATTAAACAATTTAATATCATTGTACATGAAAAAGGATTCTAAGTGGAGACAGTTTGTCAGTCAAGGATATGTTATACTATATTAATTATATGGTTATAATTAAAAAAAAAGAGGGTAAGTGGATGTCACTCTGCTGTACATTAGGTGGTGAGGTGGACCTCTGACTAGAGTAGGTTAGATTTGAATGCAATGATAGGCATCATTGTATACAAAAAACGATTCTGAACGGAGACAATTTGTCAGTCTAGGATATATTATATTTAAATATTGTCATATTATATTCTATTTTGAAACAAATATATTATTTTTCAATTAGGACGCATTTTGCATAAAGCATGGTTAATCAATTTTTCCAAAAACATTGTATATAGTTATCATAATTTATAATACCTTATATTATCATAGATATACATATACCTGATATCATAAAAATTTAAAACTCAAACGCTCAAAAAWTTTTTCCTATGATGACGCTTCAAATTTTCTATAAAGCTATTTGAAGCAAAATTTATTTAAAACTTAGTGTTGAATTTTTTAACCTTAGATATAAATACAAACAATTTTAYGAATTTTGAACTACAAAATAATTTGCAAATATTCATGGTTTTGACAAATTTTTGTCAATATTTGAACTTCAAATGCAAATAAAAAAAATTGTGCCTATGTATTCTTATAATTTTTTAATCACTATAAGAATAACTTATAAGAAACTTAGTATTAAATTTTCAAGTATTTTGATAGGGCCAAAAAAATTTTATCGACACTTCAAAAAAAAATTTTCAAAAGAGTTGTCTATAAATACCTAAAAGTCAGAATATTTTGAAAATTAAATCATGTAAATAAAATGCCAATCTAAATAACTGGTAAAATTTTCAAGTATCTGCGACTTATACTTTTTGAATAATAACAAATGTTTAAAATTGTTTGAAATGAGGATAAATCGTGAATTMTTTTAACTGCTATTGTAAAATAATTACTGAAAAATAGGGTTGATTTTTAAAGTTCATCAAAAAACATTCGACCTTATTTAGTTACTATTTAGTACTTAGGTATGAAGAGTCAAAATGGAAAATTCCCATTATTTTCTAAATAATTGAGAAAAACAAAAGATTGACTTTCTAATTCTATTGTAGGTAATTCAAAAACAAATAAGCATAAATATTTCATATTTTAAAAATTTTAAAAACCTCTTCTGTCTAATATCAATCTGAAGTTATTTCACATTTACTATGTCAACTTAAAAACAATTAAATAAGATATTGTGTATAACCTATGAACCAAACACTAATAAATGAAAACTACAAATTATAACACTAATCAGTACTTAATATTAAAGATTTGGGAAACCAGACATCACTAAAAAATGATTAGACAATCTAGTGAACAATTGGTCTTTCTCTCTMTCTTGCTCTCTCTCAACAAACACTAAACACATGCACACAAAATACCTTTTTATGGTTTTCAATTAATCAGAGTCAAATCGCCTGGCCTAAAAATTGTTAAAGCAATATGTAGTGGTATACTGGTATATTGAAGAGTATACTGCAGCGGTCTCCACTTTGCGGCCCACGCTAAAATTAAGTTGTACATCCTAAAATCTAAAATCCTATGTCCAAGAAAAAYGTTTGTGCCATTCATGAACTTTTCCTACAATACCCTTTCCTAACAAAATATTCTGTCTCATTGTATTATTATTATTGTTTTACTATTCTTCACTAAATTCAGTGAATTGCAGTTGTACACTTTAATATTGATCATTATTATCATTAAAAATGTAAAATGAATTGAGTACTATTATTGAATAGTTTTTTTTTTTCAATCTAGCCAACCAATATGTATCCCTCAATCTATTATGCTTATTATATAAATTAAAATAAGTATAACTAAAAAAAAATTAAGAGGCCCGCAAATGATTTTCAAAATTAAATTTAGCACTTTCTAAAATCCTAATGAGGACTGCTGATATACTAGGATATACGCCATATACTCGGATACTTATTTCAGGATTTATATGTATACTTTTAAGAAAATTTGTCTATTATGGGTATACACCAACTACTAAAAATTCTTACATTATGGGCATTTGAAAACTTCTAATTTATCATCAATCATAATTAATATTACTGAATAAAATAAATAATAAAAGTAATGGTAATACCAATACAATTGTAATTTTATAATTTTTGAACATTACTTGCGGGCCGCTAACATTTTTTTTTTCATATTTATTTTAATTTGTTCAATCTGTATAAAATATT